TAAGTCAGGACATTAGCAAAGCCTATAATTCAATAAATACAAAACTATTGAGCAAGACCCTGCAGAGAATTAAAATTTCAACAGCTGTCAACAAGTTTTTGAAAAATCTAATCAACAATAGAGAAGTAAAAATCATTATATATTATAGTCTCACAAACAACTTTGAATCAGCACAAGACATAGACCAAGGAGACACAATTTCATTTTTGTTGTAGCACATTTATTATGATTTACTGATTAGCAAGGTGGAGAAAAATCATATGATAAAGATTTACAATTAAAAAATTTACAAACAATATAACAATATAGAGAAAACAAGAATATAAAATCTTATCAATAATATATATGGATAATACAATTTGACTAGCAAGCTGCAAGAAATATATTGACAGAATTATTAGAATTATTGAACAATTTGCAAAGCTTGCTAATTTCAGAGTCAATCTTGAAAAAGCAGTCCTTTTTGCAATAAATAGCCAAGATACAAAAGACCCTCAGTTTCAAAATTAAACAATCTAATTAGTAGAACTTAAACAAGTTATAAGAATTCTAAGGATATGGGTAACAGCAACAGATAGTAAAAAACATCAGCATGAATTAATTAAACAAAATATAAAAACAATAACAGATTTTGAAAAGAATTATAATTACAGCCAAATAATACAAATATATTCTAAATCAGGTTATGATTTTAGCTATAGAATACATGCTCCAAGATACAATTCTTTTGAACCAAGAACTTGATATTATAAACAGCCAAATTAAACAAGCCTTCAAATACAAGATTGGCATTCTGCACATAGCTCCAAACAGTAAAATATATGTTTATATAGGATATAAACTATTCTATATAAAAGATAGACAATTTGCATTATATATCAAAAACTGTATAACAAACTTAAAAAAAAACAGTCTTTGTGAAGCACTAACTAGAGACAGATTGCAATATCTAAAAACCGAATATGAATACCAGAAAATATACTTCAACTAAAAACAATAATTGACAAATTCAAAAAATACTTAACAAGTCAAATTTTACAGATACTCAAGGAACAGAACATTGTGATAGAACAAAATTAAGATCACATCCTGATACAAACACATGATAACACTGGATTGCATATAATTAAAGATATTATGGAACAAACATGAAGCAAAAAGAATATTAAAAATATTAAAAAACACAATTTAATATTTATTGAACAGATTACTAATACTTAACAAACATATATATTAAACTTGAGACAAATTAGAGCTGATACAGAATATAAACCTACTGGAAAACAGCTAAGATAGTTTATTGAGATTAAAAAAAAAATGCAGCCAACCAGACATATTAAAAAACATATATATAATCATACTAACCGACTTAACAAGACTCAATCTAATCTCTCATCTAGAGTAGCAAAAAACTATAATATTTAAAAGTAATGATACTTGGCATATATTATTAATCAAAAAATATACTTGAAAAGAATAGATTGCAGATGTAAAATAACAAACAACCAAGTTAGAATACAACATATGTGACAAATGGAAAGAGATTCACCTATAGCAAATATCAAGGATGTAATCATAGAGACAATACAAAGGAGAGATATATTAGAGAAATAAAAATAGATCAAGCAATAATTATTCCAGTAACCAAAACTATACATAGTACAAAGCTTCACAGTTATATTTTAAAACATTTTGACAAAATACAAATATCATTAAGTACAATAATACATAATATACAAAATTTGAAAAACAAGATCCAAACCAGAGTCAGTATTGTACTTAGAAAAACAGACAGAAATGAAAAATAAAATCACAAAATATCTATAAACCAATAGCTTAAACAAAGAAGAACTAATTAAAATAGCTGAGCAAATCAAAAACTGAAAAAGAACAAAAGCATATACAGATGGCTTAATAGTTTAAAAAGCAATAAACAACATTAAGATGGAAGTGAAATAGCATATAATCAAACAAGAAATAGAAGAGAAATTAGTATATGCAGGATATATAAAGTACTTCTTATTATTAACAAGAGCAGAATTGATAACAATCCTAACCATACTAGTCCCAATTCCAGTACAAGCAGGAGTTGAAATATATATAGACAGCCAGATAGCTATATAAGAGATTTAAAAAGATAACAAAGAAAGGGACTAAATATACAAAAATGCAAATTGAATAACAAAAACACTGATTAAAAAAATTATCAAAAAAGATTAGAACAAACAGTATTCATTAAAATCAAAATGTATCAGGAAAAGAAAAACAATAAAAAAACAGATGAATTGGCAAAAAAAAAAAGCAAACAAAGAAGACAAAGTAATTATAACAGCTAATCCAAAAGTAGCAGCATGGGGAATGTCAAAATAGAGAAAATATTAATTAAACACATGCATCAAGGAATTTTTGCAGAACATGTGAAACACCAAATGGATAGCAAATTAAATAATACAAAAAAGAAATAAAGTATAGATCAAATATAGTGATAAGCTGTAAATAGATTAGCATTTTATTTGAAAAGTAAACACTAATCCAGAATAACCAAAAATTATACAAATCAAGAAGACCACATGTACAGAAGAATTAGATATAGACTATTAAACAATAAATCTTTTATATTGAAAAGACTAGCAGAAAGAAGATCAAGCATTTATAAATCAAACAAATGTCCAGAATACAAAAAAACAAAAAGCCTAAATTACTTGATACATAAGTACTGGCAACACAAAATCACAAATAAATACAAGAAGATAATAAAAGAAGAAATAGAAGAGTATTAAAAAAACCATAATAAAAGAAAAAAAAATAATATAAAACCAAAAATACTATTAATTAGTAATTCAAAGTGCATAAGAAATTATATAGTTAAAGAAATTTTGACAAAAGATATAACACAATATATATATCAGTATGCAAAAGAGAAATCAAAAGAAGTATACAAAAGAATTATAGGAAAAACAACAAAAGTAATCAATAAACTGTGAAAAAAAATGTGAAAAAATTATAGAATAGAAAAAAATAAATAATATCAGTAAAGTAAACAAAAAAAAGTGAAGATATAGAATATATCAATCAAAAGTAATAAGAAACAAAGAAGAAAAAAAAAGTAGCAAACAGGAAAAAGAATCTGGCAAGAAAATTGTTGGTTAAAAACACAAATAAAATAACAAGAAACAAATTTTTTATTTATATACTAGTAACATTAATAACAGCAATGCCTTGGCATGTTAGTTTTAATTCTTATCTAATAGAAAAATTTGATATTTAGAAAATCTCTAGATAGTTTAGCATACATTTATCAATTAATGTTATAGCATAGTTTATATATAGAAATATGTATAAATATATGTAAATATTGATCTTAATAAAGTTTGCTAAGCAAGGTTCAGCTAGAAAAAAAATATTAATTTAAAGATTTTATAAAATAATTTTTAAAACAATTACAACTTTTTACTAATAAAATTGGAGCTAGAAACTATAATTTTATTATAATTAATCTTTTAAAAATAGAATTATAAAATTAAAAGATAATTTTTATTACTATATATATAAATAGATTTGTTAAATTTATATAATTTTTTATTTAGTAAAATAATTAATAATTTATTTTAAAATAATTTTTAAAAAATAATTTTTTATTTTCAAACAAAATTTAATAATATTAGTACTAATATTTTTAAAAGAATTTTTTAAGTAAATACATTTTCAAATATATATATATAATCTTTATCTTATTTATTAACTTTTTATTGATTTAGTAATAAAAATAATAAAAATATATACGTAAAGATCCAATTCCGGTTTTTTTTTTGGTTAATTGTATTTTATCAATGGATTATTGATTTATGAATAAAATTAACAACTAAATATTAGTCCGGGGACTTTTATACACACATTTTTATTTTTAATTAATTATTACGTTGTTAATGAAAATAAAAAACTAAACTTTTTTAATCACATTTGTTTTACATTGTATTTATTTTATTATCCAAAAAAAGTTTTTTATACTCCATATTTTATAAAAAATATTTTTTAAATGTTATTATCAAAGTTTGTCAAAAAAAAGTATTAATTAAAAATTTTATATTATTTTTAATAATAACTATTTACACTATTTTATTACTTTTTTAAAAAAACCTTATATACTGTATATATTATTTAAAAAATCATTAAAATACCAAATAAATAAAAAAATAGAAAGTTTTTTTCGCACGAATCTTGGATAAATTCTTCATTATTTAGAAATATAGATTTTAAAAATTTAATTGTAAATCAATTACAGCATCGATCATCAAATAGACAAAAACAGAGATAGACCATTTTTGGTTTTTAAACATAATTATGATATAGCAACATCGATGGTTTCAAATTTTATACCATTGTCATGGAGATCGCTTACAAATATTGCAAATTACTGTTTAAAAACAAGACACATTGAAAAAAATGATTTCGATAACGATAAAAAACAAAATTTATATTACTCAGAGTTGGAAAAAAATGAATTCGTAAAATGTTTAGCGAATATGAAAAAGATAAAAACAGACTCAATTTTCAACATGATTTGTCATAAAATACACGATATAGAAATATTACTCCTTTAAACGAAGAAAATTTTCAGATTGAAAATACGATCGCAACGTTCCATAATGGTGTGGTCGACTTTCATGCAATTACAGTAATATATTCATAATGTACATGTTAAATGATTAGATGCGGTATGATAGATAATTAAGGTTAGCGAATGAGACAAAATCACAAAAATTAAGGTTGGCGAATGAAACGAAAACAGTGTAGATCGATTTGTATCCAACCAATCGTATTTATTGAGAAAACACCTTTTTTTTTTTTTAGACTTAAAGAACGCACAAGAAAATTTTCTTTTTTTAGCGAAGAAATAGTAAACAAAAAATAAGAAGTAAAACGCACCCATATATTCCTGGATACTATAAGAGCAATAGCGACTCACTTAGATTTAGATTCCACGAGACAGGACGGATTCGATGCCGTTGGACCAAGGTACAAAAATGATAGAACAGTATATCTAATGCTTAAGTTCTGTCGAATGAAAGATAAATATTATTTCTATACTAACAGAAAATAAAGTGGATTAGAGACGATAATTCGGTCCTGCTTATTAGTGAGTCGATCACCTATCAGAATAGTACGAAATAAAAAGACCGCAAAGACAGATATATGCTGAAGTATCGCGAGATCTAATCCTAATACGACCGGTCAATCAAAATGAAAAGGACATTGGAATAAAATATGAGTTAAGAAGAGATGCGATTAATATAAACACGAGTGTTGAAGAGGCTTATTGAGAGTCAAAAATTGAAAAAGCGTAGCTAGAGGGATATCTGAAAAGGTTGAAGATTAACAAATTGTAATACTCTAGTGATCGTTGAGAAAGAACTCGAAAACCGAGTTCAACAGAAGCTTATGATCATATTAATATACAAGGAAAAGGACTAATTTTGTAGGGAGAAAAACTAAAGCTTCTATAACAATGAATCGACTGATGAGCAAATCTCACTATTCCTACGGGACTTGTCTTCTAATACTTCTAAGAGTATAATTGTTCCAGGGAAAGTCCAGGTCAACAAATGCGAGAGTCGTCAAGTTGGATCACAAACTAGGAGTTAATGGTTATTAAACGTAACGTTGAGTCAACAATTAGTGATACTGTTAATAGTATGGGATATAAAACTCATGACACAGAAGTAAAAGATCAAAGTGGTTAATGAAAATAAGTATAATATTTAATTCTAAAAAATCAGAATTAATAAGATAATGTTTGGCAACGAATCTAAGAACGTCATGTCAGACTTACCAAATTGACCATTTGATTATAAAGACCTGAAAGACCGGGCGAACTTGGGTGGTGTCAATATATTTTCGGAAAGTTATCTTCCATTAACGAAAAGATGAGTGTATTAGATATTTGGATTCCAGTTCGAAAAAACTTTAGTCATCGTTTCGATAGTTGTGTTTAAAGCACATTGATATTTCTTCGTTGAGGATATATTATGAGTAGCATATAAATGATTAAGGAGAAATTTTAGATATAGTAAAAGGAGAGATGAATTTTAGCCTACAACCCAAGAGGAAAAAGAGTTCGAAAGGGTCGATTTTTATACGAGAACAAATTAACTACAAACTTTAGCATCAGGTCAGGTTGCCTTGCGTGTTTTATTCAAGCCACTACTCCAACAAATAAATGTCTGATGTTTAACAAATTGCGATTTAGATAATGAAGCGAAAGCTTAACATCGAAGCAAGCATAAAAATATAGAGTAGACTTTAAAAGGTCCGAGCAATTGAACAGGTGTCTCATAAACCATTCAGAATATACTCTCGTGTGTCGATACTTTGCTTGGGATTGCTTTTCGGGAAATATACGCACACAAAAATTACTGTGTAAATATTTTTTTATTAAAGTAGTGTAGAAAGGCTAGTCATGGAAAAGGAAGAGTTACTCGGGTTCGGATAAATGAATTAGCGTGGCCGGGGAAAGTTCAATATAGTCGAACAAATATAGTAATATGCCAGATTTTACAGAAATAAATGTTACATTTCGAATTTCGCTTCAACATTTGTAAATCATCTAGGGGCGTTTTTTGAGAGAAGTGGCTGTGTATCTAATACAATCAAGTGATTGTTGAAATGGTTCACAAAAATAATAGCAACACACAATATAAAATTTAGAATATAGAATAAGGCTAGTGTGTCCACGATAATTTGAAGTGAATATGGAATGTATTGGTCAATTCTTGGATTTTCTAGTTTATGGGAAGACTCGTTTTTGACAATCAAGTCTGTCACAATCATCTAACTCAGTAACCGCAGTTCATTACGAGATCTTGTATCAGCTACTCTACTCGCGTGGCTCTTTTTTTTTTTGGATAACTTGCATGGATTGTTTTCAAGATAAGGGTTTCTTTGTTATAACGTTGGCTCCTTCACACGTCCTGCCTTTTTTCTAAATAAATATAGCAATTAATATTTTACAATATATATAATCTTTTGTTAGAAATAATTTGAGGATAACAATTTAGTTCGAATTATGGAATTTCTTTTAAATTCCAAAAAAACTACTTCTGTTGAAAAGTTTAGATTTAAGTTTAATATTTAATTTTGAATGCATGCACTGTATATCAGATGTAATAAGTTGAGTATAATTGATCAGTCATTAAATGACAATTTATATACTGTATATGTATAATTGTTCTTAATTACGAATCAATTCAAATTTACAATATGCAACATAATACCAATTATAATTATTTGGTTATAATTTTTTTTAGAAAGAATTAAATACAAAAAAAATTATAAGTCATTCTGTAAACATATTTAAATAAATTAGTGTCTTTTGTTAAAAATTTGAACATATATTTTTTATAATAAATATCAAAATCCACTTTATAATTTATCCTAAAATCCGATATTTATTTTTTTGAAATAAATTTTGATATCAAAAAAAAAAAAAAGAAATTTTAAAATCTAAAAATTTCATATATTTAAAATATATTTAAAAAATTATCAATAAAAAATTATATATATTATTATTAATTTGATAATGATAGTTTTTTGAATAAAATTTTGAACATGGTTAGCTTATATTCTAAAATATAATTTTTAATAACCAATTCAAAAATTATATCCAATTTTTTGTTATTATTATACACTTGAATTTAATAAATTATCTTGAATCATATTCAAAATTGTTATCGTAGAGCTTATTATTATTATAGGTTTCAAGATACACTGCAAAATTAACCATCACCGTAGATGTTATGCTTGGCGCTTATAATATTGTTTACAATCTAAGTTACAATCATGCACGTAATCTTATATGGTACACTATTATATTCAGTATACATTATTTACTTAGCAAAAGAAAAGCGAGTAAAGGGATTGATTATACGAAACGAAAAAATTATTTTTTCTTTCTTTCTTTTTTTTACTTTAAAGAAAAAATAAATCAAGTCAAACACCACATTGTTCGCGTGATTAACAAAGATTATCAGTAGTCTGACAATATATATAATCATATAGTCCCTTTATTTTTGCATTATACCGTATATACGGCATATAAAGTAATTTTAACTATTTTTTTTGTTCCTAGTTGTTCGTGTTTCCATCATTCAAGCTTTTATGGAAACATTATTCTCTAGAATGACTCTGTGAAAATTTTTTCGTATATAACTTCAATGAACTCTAAAAAAATGTCGCGTCTAAGAATCATTCGAATTTTAACGTTATTAAGAAAGACCCAGAATATAAGAACAGAAAACTCGAAAATCAAAGACAATCTAAAAAAAAAAGAAGAAAAGAAAATTTTTAATTACGAACAATTTTTCGCAGCTCACATCGGTGTAAAAAATATATTCACATTTGAAGTAAGATTCTTTCGTGGCGACAGGAAATCCGAGAAGTAATGCCTATTTAATATTAGATTATACAAAAATATTCGCACATTATCAATTTCTTTATTTTACATCATACTGTATATTTTACTTCGATTACCAAATATTTTAGATAGTTTTATTTTACTTTTTTTTTTAAAGAAATCCTTGTATTATAGTTATTGGAATTACATGACTTGTACTTCGAATTAGATGCAATTCACCCTTCTAATTGGTCGGTATGTTTTAGATGCCTCATAGACGCTAGTTTAAGTTCGGGTGATTCTTCTCAAACAAAAGATTTCCTTATACTGTATTAAATCCCATTTTTTCGAATATGACCTTTTTACTTACTATATGTGTAAAAATTAGGATTAACGTGCTCTTAAAAAAAGCGAACGTTATACTGCTGTAAAAACAAATACTGTATGTCAGAAATAAAATCTAAAATTGCATATGAGAAACAACAGTTTTGCTAATCGAAAACGAAGGATAGTTATCTTATGAATTTAAAGTCTTGTTTGTGTGGAAAAAATTGTGATTGATGTTGTGAGGGCAAGGAGCAATTAACTTAAATTCTAAGCTCGCGACATGTAGTATCTTCAACGTCCGATTTTACATTTAATTCGGCAAATAAATTTTAACAAAGATAGATAATAAATCAATGCTTGAACACTCAACATTGTAATATCATACTTTTGACTTAAACTTATGTTCCTAAATTATTCACTGGTAACTTGTCTTTATTTTTATTTGCTCTTGAGTTATACGCTACATCGTTTCCTTCACATGACTTTGAAAAATATTGATTATGTTATCTGATTGGCGCAAGCACAAAATCATTCAGAAATTTATTAAAGCATTCATAGTAACACGTGTACCATCACGTTGTGTAACCAGTTTTCATCTCTATCTCATGAATTCTAAACAGATCGTGTCTTCAAAGTCACGTTTACAAGCAATTTTAGGACAATCCTATTGCTGCTGTATTATAGTAAACTGGCTTCTTTCGTACACAATATACTCGGGCAGATAATGAAAATTACTACGATAACTAAACGCTCAAGCCAAGGAAAAAGCTCCTGCGTCGTGTTATCGCGTGGGAACTTGCATATTATTTATTTGGTGTAGACGATAATTGTTTTAATTATTTTAAAGGTGGAAAATGCAACGAATCTCTGAGCCCTATGATTGCGATCAGGGCATAAATTCTACTGTAAAACGAACGATTAATTTGGTTAGAATAATTTTCGAATCTATAGTATTACTTTACTATGAATAGATTTTACACGTGATGCCGATCCCGAGTTCTGAATTATAAAATATCGTGACTTTGATCATAGAAATAAATATCGAACACAATAAATATCATAATTTTATTTAAAAAAAGCAAAATATAATTCTTTAATGCTAATACTTTTACAATAAAATATTATAAAAATTACATCTAAATTTAAACTAAAATTTATTTTATTTTTTTAGTTTTAAATGTTTATTGAAAGTCAAGATTTTTTAACATTGCTAATGCACAACATATACGTTGGTACTATCACAGCGTTGTAATTATTATAATTGCACACTATTACAGTCGCGTATGCCGCGCACATTCGTAAGTATACAGTATATACATCACTATCACTATGGTTACTCAATCCTCGTGATTTTAACCAAATTAATCAATTTCCATATAGGCGTACTCTAAGATTATCTTAGTAACTAACCAAATTAATAGCCGTTTTACAGTATAATTTATGCCCTGATGGCGATCCTGATATTGTATTATGCATACATTATAAGAAGGAAAATAAGCATTCGTCAGAACACGACTTTATTCATATGACCGACAGATCCCAGGAGTTACGCGAACCGTAATCAAAATCGCGGTGTCATTTCTTGCTTAGCTAATACAATGGTGA